TTGGTTACATATTGTAACCCAAGACACCATGACAGTTCCTTATCAGTGGGTCCCTGGGCACTAATGACCTATTTTGTGGGATTTCCATCAAGTTTATACCAAAATTGTTTCATTGATCATTCATATAGCTTCAATGTTTAGCTGGCACTTTATACCAAGATGTGCTAAATGTTCGATGTAGATAAGTTCTGTGTGAATGTTGCTGTTTTTTCATGTTGTGATATTTTACAGCAGAGGAGCTTTGTGGGGATCGTACTGTGGGAAGAAAAACAACCAAAAAGCCAGTCACATGGACAGCAGGACTTGGATGATAGAGCTGAAACAGAATATAATCAGATTGTTTGCACTTGCAGTCATAGCCCTCACATGCCATTGAATTCAGGGATTTCTGCCCCATCAGTTCTGCTGATTTGGCTTCTCCTGTAACCAAACCCTAGTCCACCCTATCAAAAAACAATCTGAATCTGATCTGACCGAAGAGCTGCTTAAGGTGTCTCCTGGTTTTGTTTTTACTTTAATCTGGTGGTATCCGGGAAGTGATAGAAACCTAGGTGTGCTGGTGTGAAACAGGGGGCATTTAGCCTGCATCTAGAGCAGCACTTTTAGGTTACAAATCAATGCCTTCAGTGCCTTTATCCTAATATCCAGCTCTAGAGGAGTAGATCTCTTAGGAGCTAGTAAGCTTTCCTCACATCCTGCTGACCAGTGTTCCTTATGGAACAGCACTTTCCATTTCTGAATTCTATCTGTACTTTAAGTTACACATGTTAAGCAGCTTGTTGGAATGAACTGAGCTACAATTCTGTGGCGTATAGATTAATTGAACTGAGTGTGAATTAAAAAACATGTTAAATAAGATCATGGAAGGACACTCGTGGATATCCTAAGAATGGTTATAGGAGATGAAAGCATATAGAGTAGAAAGAATCATTATAGCCTCCCAGAAGCCAGAAGTCCTTTCTTATGTTATCTCTCTTATTATCTGAACACATTGTAGTCTTTACTGGTTTTATCTTTTCTATGCTACACAGATATACCCATTTTTCAGATAGGGAATCAAGGGAAAAAGAAAGAAAAGAACCAGGTCATAAAAAGGTTCATGGCAAATTCACAGCTGAGCGAGTTTCTCCCAGGTCTAAGGCCATCAGCCAAATCAATGACATTTTAGTGATCTCATAACAGTGAGAGATGTGTATAGATGAGAAAAGCTTAACTATTCAAACACAGAATGGAATTAATAAGAGCCCTTTTCCCTGTGCTTTTTGGCAAAGGAAGGTTTCCATGACCACAGGGACAGTTCTGCTGGCTTGAGACAGACAAAGGACTTTATGTTTGACCTATGTGTGACCCAGTGACCTGAGCATAGGCTTATTAATTTTATTCTCAGTTCTGGTTTACTGGCAGGTTGTGCTGTTCTGGCCAAGTCACCAAGGCCTGACCTTCCATAAATATCTACTACACCCTTGTATTTGGATGTGCGGTCTGTAAAATTTACTGTCTGATTTTATGAGGTGCTGAGCACTTGCAGTGCTATTAAAGTGTGAAACATTAAGTGACACTTTTGGATATTTTGGCAGTAGTTCCTTTATGTCTGTTTCTCATCAATGTTTTACCTCCATCGTAAGATTTTCATACAGATTAATCAGGATTCATGTTGTGCAAAAGGTTGGAAATATGAGCAGCGAAAAATTTGAAGAGCAACTTTCCAAAAAACCCAGTAACCTGGGAAAAATAGGTTGGTGGCCCTGATGTAGTAACTAAAGAAGTGTATGTCCATAGCACATTTGTAAACACCATTTGGACCAAAAACATTTATGCTTAGAACCTAAATTGGATGCCTACATTTATCTGATGTTTTAGGCCTAGGTTTGTTTACTGAATAAGATTGGTTAATAATGTTGTATTGACTAAAGACACATAGGTGTGGCATGTGGGGACGTAGAATAACAAGAATAAGTCTGTCAAAGAGGAAACAAATGCAGGCCAGCATTCACTGTGCTGCTCTAAGTGTCTGAAATTTGGAAGCATTAGACTGTATTACCTTTAAAGCCTGAAAAAAATGAATGTTTTTTAGGCTGCCAGTTCTGTCATCTGATTCACATGACTAGAAGAACCTATGTGGCAAAATGAATCACTTCTCTATGCTTGTACACAGAGGCGGTGAAACACAGCCTCAAAGCCAAATACAAAACAAACATTCAAAGACAAATACAAATACTGAATGATTTTGCTT